CCACACTGAGATACCACCTAACTCCAGTCAGGATGGCCATCATCAATAACTCAAAGAACAACAGATGCTAGAGACAATGCAGGGAAAAGGGAACACTTCTATACTGTTGGTGGAAGTGTAGTACAACTTCTGTGGAAAAAAGTGTGGCGATTCCTAAAAGATCTAAATATCGATCTTCCACACAACCCAGAAATTCCTCTTCTGGGAATATACCTGAAAGAACTCAAATCATTCTATTAAAAAAGATACCTGCACATGCATATTTATTGCAGCATTATTCTCAACAGCAAAAACACAGAATCAACTGTGCTGCCCATCAGAAGTAGACTGGATAAAAAACAATGTGATACATATACATGATGGAATATTATGAAGCCATAACGTAGCATGAAATTATGGACTTTGTAACAACTTGGATGGATTCAGAGTCTACAATACTCAGTGATTTTTCACAGAGACAAAGAACTGAATACCACATGTTCTTACTCATAAGTGAACCCTGAGCATATAATGCTATAAGAAAGGAGTTGGCAGTAGCAGGAAGATGCCAGGGGATGGGGAGCACATCACATCAATAAGGTACCTGATTTCAAACCAGGTGAAGTGAGGACTAAAGGGTGGCCCAAACTTTACCTGTACGATGGCCACTTGTATACCTAATCCTGAATTATACCCCACAACTTTAAAAAAGAATTATATATATTTTTATTGCCCCTTATTTTTCCATAATCTCAGAATTTTTTTAAACACTGTTAGGGAAAATAGCCTTCAAGGAAACACTTTCAAAGACAATTTTAAAAGTTTTCCTTTAGAAATACAAATAAATTCTCATTTTTCTACCTGATGACTTACCAATAACCTCAGTTCATCAGGGTAGATGTGGAATACATAGTTGGCTATGTTTAATGGTGGAAGGTGCATAGCCTACTTAGAAAAGTTATCTGAAAAAAGAAAGCTTGTGGAAGAATCATTTGCTCCTAAAAAGTATTACTCAAATTCCTTTTCTGGAGTTAACAAAGATAACCACACAACAACAAAATACTTGACCCAAAGCCCAGTTATTGGGGGAACCTAGTAAATTTTGTGCAAGTGTCAATAAATTTCTACACAGCTATCTGCACTAGTGAGGATGCAATGCCATACGGGTTAGAGAAATTGAAAAGGAGCAGGAAGATGTTACAGGACAAACCGAAGGTGTCACCAGGGCATCTTCTGTAGATTAAGTAAATCTAGTTAGTACACGACTAGATGGCAATAAGGTTGAGAAAGAACATGAAGGTTGGGAAAGAACATTCAGCAAAATGCAAACTGGCAACTGTTTTAAGATTTTGGCCTGCCTGTAAAGTGTTTCCATTTGTCTTTATAAGTGAATGAAAACAGTAGATGTTTCTAAACGGGGTCTGGTGTATGCAAAAGTTTTTTTTTTTTTTAAAGACTAGAGTTTAACATAGGAAGTGGTATTCCTGCTCCTACATAGTCGTGGGCCCTGATCTTATGTTGGTTCTCGATAATAAAGTATTATATATTCAATGAAAGTTGGAGCTTAAATAGTGGTTCAGTACTAAAAATCTTGTCTTAAAAAAAAATCTATGGGATCCATTAAGTAAATCTGGCAGTGTTAATACATATGTCATTTATTTTATCAAAAGAGAAATATTATCCAAAGTAAGCAACTTGTAATACTGTATGAAAATATTTTTATATAAAGACACAGTGTCAAAATTAAATATACACATTCCATTATTTAAAAAAAACTAACATATATTATTCTCTTAAAAATATACCTTCTAGATTGCAAACTCATTTAGGCAAATTTATTATATGTAAATGAAAACAGTAACTCAGTACTATGGTTTAGCATCCTTAGACTAGGTGAATTTCTATTTTTTTGAAATTATCCTTTTTTCATTTTAAAACATTTGCTATACCATTTATTGATGTCACTATTACACATTCATGTTTTATTACATCTCTTGATATTTCTCTTAAGTATCTTGGACTTCTTTATGCTACTGGTTCTTAAAGGTATACGTGACTCTTTTGTTCTCATAGGTATTATCCATATATCTCTGTTAACCCTGAAATATCTCCAGCACAGACAGTGACAATTTTCACTCTTAATACAGTATATTGATTCATACTGGGCCATAACATATTTTGATAATAAGGCAATTTTAATTTTTAATCCTTGTAACCTTTACATACTTCATAGATTTGATGCATTCTAAAATATTTAAACAGGTTTTTAAAAAATTATTGCAACTAATACCTTACATGGATTGTCTTACAAAAATCAGTACAGAATTAATACCAATTGATATGTGTCAGCATACATATGAAATAGTTTGTTGACTGCAGCATTCAGTTTCCATGGTTAGTTTCCATCTTCTAGTAATATAATATGGATTTCTCCATTGTGCTAATCCATTTTTACCAGGATGCATTCAGTAACTTCTAGGAGATATTCTACTCCAAAAAACTGCACAAGCAGACAGATTCTTGTAGGATGCAGCTAAGTTAACGTTTCGTTACTGCCACTTCATATTTTTCAGTGTCCTTTGGTGCCGCTCAAAATTTTATTCCAACAAGTTTTTATCTTTTGTAGTAGTCTCTTTAGGAAACATGAGTCATTCTGTTTTTTCTGTTCCTTTAAAAATTTATTTTCCTCCTAGAGAATAGATTTTTAAAAGTTTTAACCTCATATTTTTATAAAATACACATTAAAATATTCAATCTTTAATTTCTATCATGTTAAGTTATACTGAAAAGTTGGTGTAATAAAAAAGGAGATCCTTGCATGACATTTTAAACATGACAATTTCTAACTACAATTATGATAACTGACATGTAGAAAATTCAAGGTTGGTGTGGTATAAGATTTAGAATTCATCAAAGAGCTCTGTCAGCTGGTTGCCATTTTCACATTGCAACAGTAGACGTAATAATACTGTTTAAACTTTCATGAGAAAGATTATTGTAGATTATCCAATTGAGTTTTTTAATATGAAAAAGTTGTTTTTAGTTTTTTTAAGTAGAATTGGAAATACTCAGATTATTTTGGCAAAGATAATTAATAAGGCTATACCTTATTATTGAACTTATTGAATTTGTGCCCTAAGTTTCACCCCAACGATATAGCTTTCACCAGAGTACGGCAGAAGCTTGCCTAAAAAACTAGTTTTTAGCACCAGATAAGAATCTTAAAAGTGACTACCTGTACAATCTATAGAAAGTGGAGGAAGAGATACCTTACATGGAACATATATGCAAGGGATTATCCCTGCATAGTCTAAATTATACTTCTCTGAGCCCCTGGACCTGGGGAAGTGGGATGAGTACATGGTAGAGAAATTCTTCATATAAATAACCAGTTATTGAGTATTTTCTAGTTCATCTGTGCTCAGTGCTTTGTACACATTACTTATGTTTTCTGCTTAATAAGCCTATGAACTTGATTATTTCAACTCATTTCACAGCTGAGGAAACTGATCTGCAAAGAGAATAAATAAGCTGCTAAGGTCACATGTCAAGTAAGTATAATACTTCCCATATTGCTCTATAATTTTCTCTAATAATATCTAATAAGTATAATATATAAATATGAAATGTTTATATACTACTGTATATTATTTATACTGTACACTCTATACTACAATATATTAAAATAGATATGAGATGCATCCTTAATATTTCATTTTTCTTTCTTTATACACTAACAAGGATGGCTTTTTTGGTCATGTACTTGCTTTCTAGCTTATTTTTTAAATTGTCCACTTTGTTTTACCCATTGCCTACTGATATTTTAATGTTACTTTAAAAAAATAAAACAATGCTTTGATATTTGTCCTAGCTTCTAATATTTTTAAGTGTTTTTTTTTAATTTAATGAACTTGAAAGGGATCCAGTTTTTAAGGGGTATCTCCTTTCTCCTTTTATTGACATTATTATGAATATTTTTTAAACAACCATTTAAAAAGAAAGAATTCAAAGAGAAACATTAAAAATTAAGTTGAGTAAAAAGCTAATGAAACATAAAGAAAATTATACAATTACTCTCACCAAATTCTTTGTCGGTTGTGCTTCACCCACAGAAGGTGTTTTTTTCCCTTTAACCTTAAAAACAAAGTCACATATAAATCCTGTATTGCTCCTTCCATTGTTTGCAATTCCATTTTTCATATTGCTTTCAGTTCATCTAATTTATTTGAAAATCTACGGTAAATTTTTTACAGTTAGGATAGCAGAATATTAATTTCATTTAGACTATCAAGAAAAAGAAACAAGAGAAGTGACTCTTCTGAATATCCTGGATCCATAATTTTGCAGATATGTATCCCTAGCACTGTGCAATTTGCTGTGAGGGATGAAAAATTAACATTGAAGGGTATACTAACAGAAATAAAACTTGAATTTAAATCAATATGGAAATAAAGTTACCATTAAATTGTTAACTCCCATCCATACATTTTATTAAGCTTTATTTATCAGGAGCAACATGAAATGAAACAATTGTGAAAACTTGTAGCATAACATGCTTGACTCATGAAAGAAATTCAGTGTAGCTCACTGTCTTTAACATCTTGCCTTATCATTTCAAGAAAAGGTGAAATAGATATATGATTCATTAATGTTGTTATATAATTTGATTTAAAGATGGAAAGTATTGTGTATTTCTTTCTCCGTGGTTAGGTGATTTTAGCACATGGTGATCCACCAAAAGCTCAACACTTAAGAAAAGGAATTGCACATGTATAGCATACCAATGACTTTCACCCCTTCCTAGGCCAAGAAGTGATATGTCTATTCTACACTCTTCAGCTGAGTCCTGTCTTGTGACTTGTAATCAACACAGTATTTCCCATAGTCACTACTAATTAATTGGATGCAAGCAACATTAAACCTAGCTGCCATTTGTGCATTGGATGGTACTTGGAAATCACTGTAAGTAGGAATTAATAGCTGGTGGCCTAGAGTATAAAGTCCTTATGAATCTTGAACTGAGCCTTGAAGATTGTATAGAACAAGATAGATAAGATTTTTTTAAAAGTAGAAATTCCCTATAGGGGACAAACATAAATAATGACCCAAATAAACTTGGCAAATCCAGCACACCAAGAGGAGATTGTATGCTATCAAGTAGATCAAGCAACTATAAATGAAGCTGTCCAAGTTATATAATCTCTATTTTCATCCTTGTCAATAGGGTTCAAATATTTCATCATTTTACCTTCTATGGGAAACTACTGGTACTCAAACAAAACAAAATAAAAAGTCTTTAAATCATAAAGATGTTATTTGAAAAATGTTTAAACCATAAGAAACCTTTTGACTTTGTATGACAGCTGGTAAAAACCTTAGAGAAAAGAATAAGAATAATAATAATAAATTACATTAAGCATTGAAAACTTTGTAGTACTAAGCACTTTATGTAAATTATGCTATTTAACCCTTTCAAATCCTACAACATAGATGCTGTTTTTTTCTGCATTTTGTAGTGAGGAAAATGTTGTCTAGTTTCAAGATAATGTCTTCCAAATTTTGTTTTGTTGTTGTTAGATCATAATCACTAGTAGAAAAGTAGAAAAAAATAGTCCTATCTGTATCAAAATATATTTTTCTAAAAAGGAAAGTTGTTGGATATATATATATATATATATATATACACATCAATATATGTGTGTTCTGTTTTAGCATATAAAGACTTGTTAATGTTGTGTAAATACATCTTACTTCTTTTACTGACTAGGAGTTCCTATAAATGTGTACACATATGGATTAAAACTACTAATAAAATTTAGAGATAAAAATGTACTATTCTCCCATCCAGCATGCCACCCTAGCCTCCTTGGAAGTTATTTTGGCAATGAAGTATTCATTTATTTACTTTTTACTCCCCTTTTATAAACGATTAATTCACCCTAGCCAAGAGATAAATGGGTACTTTCAAAGTTCAGTCTTTCTACTTCTGGCATTGAGTAACTGTATCTCAACTTTAAGTGATAATAAGCACTCAGAATTCTATGATAATGAATATGATCATCATAGAATTGTGGTATCTTAGCACAGGAGTAGTTTATGTTCAAAGTAAACAGTCCTTAGCTTACCTTGCTGGTGCAGTTCAACAGTGTTAATGTGCCTTCTGAAACTCTTAATAAGTGAATATTGAAATCCTCAGTGCTATTGATTTTAGAAAATTGCTTCAACTTGCGAGCAGCACGATATAGAAACATACCTTCCTATTATTAAGAAAAAATAAGTCAGGAGGGCTATGTCTCAAATAACATATTAAGAATACATAAAATAAAATATTAAGAAATGATATGCTTTCTGAAAAAGTTTAAAGCTAGAGCAGCTAAATAATGCCCCACCTCCACCCCAGCTTTCTATTCCAGTTAGTCACGTGACTGACAAGTAACAGAGCTAAAACTGTTTAACTCCGGGGTGCCTAGAACCTGGTTTAATGATTATCTGACTTAAAGTGTCTTTTCTCTATCATGCATGTGTAATCTTATTGCTTATGGGTGAACATATTACAAGATTATTCCATTTTAAACATGATACCCAAAGGAGAAGGCTTCTGCAAGCAACAATGGTGAAAAGTATGTATGGTTTTTCTTATTGTTATTATTTCCTGTACCTTTTGAGCTATGGATGAGTAACTGGTAATAGGAAAATAAAGGGCCATAGTTACCTAAAACAGAAATTTTTAGGAAATTTATAAAAAAGAATTTATGATTATATTATAAGATGTCATGAGGTTAACTTAGCTATTGTGGATTTTGAAAAGACTATCAAATAGTACACTCATTTCTGTAGGAAGAAAGGACATAAACTTTAGGAGTTTTTATAAACTGTAATATTATACCAACTAAAGATAGTAATCTTTTTTTCTTTTTCTTTTGTTTTTTTTTGAGTTGGAGTCTCACTCCATTGCCCAGGCTGAAGGGCAGTGGCACGCTCCTGGCCACCGCAGCCTCCATCTGCTGGGCTTGCTTCCGCCTCAGCCTACCAAGTAGCCGGAACTACAGGCCCGGGCTACCACGCCCAGCTAATTTTTGATTTATTGTAGAGATGAGGTCTCGCCAAGTTGCCTGGGTAGGTCTTGAACCCGCGGGCTCAGGCAATCCACTGGCCTCGGCTTCCCAAAGTGCTGAGATTACAGGCTGAGCCACCGAGCTTGGCCAATAGTAATCTTTCAAAGATGAGCAAATATTAAAAGAAAAATTTCAAAATACCTACAACTAAATTATACCAATGACTTGCGTTGTGTATGTGCAAGCAATCACCTTAGCAAGTATTTTTCTGCATACAAAATTTAGAAATAAAAGGTATGTTGACTTTGAATTCAACAATGATAGTATTTTGAATGTGAGAAGTAAAATAGTAAAATAGAAAAAAAGTTTTAAAATAGGCATAGCGCTATTTGTAAAATAAAAAGTATAAAAAATGACCATAATATAATTTAACAGGTTAATTGGAATTGTATGGTTAGACCTAAAAGAATATTTATTAATATAATTGTCTAACAGAGACATAAGAAATATATAAACTTTTACAAGCTTGAATGACAAACTCCAAATAATTATCATTACCTTATTATCATCACATAAATGCCTTCTAAAAAAGTTAGGTTCATTATTCAGGCAGTTGCTACCAATTTCATTCATGCTGTTCTGTAATAAATAACAAAATAATATGGTCAAAATTGAGGACTTTCCTAATATGTAGTAATTATAAAAATAATCATATCTGGTATTTATATATGAATTTTAAGGAAAATAACTTTTGCATGGCTCAGCTGATTAAGCATAAAGAGTAGTTTTCTATAGTTGAAAAACAAATAAATATATACACCAATACTCATATATTTAGTACACCTTCAAACTCCATAACTTAATCCAATAATTCATTAGGAGAATATGGTTCATTCGGGGAAATAAAAGTACCTATTTTAGAGGTTATACTAAATAGACAAACTCCTATAAGATTTCAAATCATCAAATTGAGATGGATTTAAGATATTATTCAGTCCAATTTCTACCACCATCAAACAAGAAAGAAAATTTACTTTAGAATAAAGAGAAAAACTTTTGACAGTGAGAATTAAGGTTCAACATTTTCCTACATTTTTAACAATCCAGTTTGTCTGGGATGGTTGAGGTAGAATTTTGCAGAGAAACAGTGGAATTGAATGCATATGTATTGTAAATGTACAGGTGGGAAAGCAGACTGGTACATGTTCTTTTTTCCTTTCCAGGGAATATAGTATAAGAAGGTTGAGATTACCTGAATCAAGAATTTAGTCGACAAAAATAACAAGTTTTTTTGTTTTAGTCATAGATTTCTTTATTTTTTATTTTAGTATCACCTGTAATATTTTATTTGACAATATGAGGCCAGTCAAGGTCTTTCAAAATCAAATCAGTATTCTATTTTTAAATTTTATTTTTATTTTTTATTTTTTCCTCTTTTAATTTTTATTTAAAATTTTGGGGTACAATTCAGGGCTAGGTATACACTTATTCACCATGCAGATAGCAAGTTTCTATGGATTCAGATTCTCTTATGCACAGGGCTGGACTAGCTCTATTCAGCAAACTAGCAATTCCATGCTATCAGAGTTTCTAGAAGGTCTTCAAGCAGTCTTAGCCTATATGATGTCAACAAAGAAACAGAATAAGAAGGGGAGCAATGGCATATTTAGTCATGGGCTTCTAATATTCATTTGCCTCTCAGAAAAGTGCACATTACTGTTTGTTTGTTTGTTTTTTGAGTTGGAGTCTCCCTCTGTCACCCAGACTGGAATGCAGTGGCCGCTCCTGGCCACCGCAGCCTCGAACTGCTGGGCTCCGGCGATCCTTCCGC